GTGATAAAACTTGTTGGGCCTCACAGGATGGGGGTGGAACCAGTCCTGGTCTCCCCATCCCAACCAGACCCCAAGTCATCACCCACAAACAGCCTCTCTGGCTCTTGATCAAGCTGCTCAATGGCCAAGATCCCAGAGACTCAGGAGCAAATCTTGAAACCCAGTGGCTTTTGGCAGAAATCCCTCCAGATTTAAGTGTTAAAATTGCGGAATTTCAAAATCACATGGCCCTACTGCAGCCACACGACATCATACGTTATTCATAACCAGCAATAGAAAACAAATTGTCTACTGTTGCCTTTTCAGCAGATCTGAGAGTGTTGGGGTAAAATCTCAAATAATAATGGTGGGTCTGGTGTCGAAATATTGAATGTGATCAAAGTAGAGAGAGAGTAATGTGGAAATCATCTGCCCCACAGGTAGGGGGAGGGTGTGGGATGGGGGTATACTGAGGTTTTTGATGGTGGAGAATGGGCACTGGTGAAGGGACGGGTGTTTCATTGTATGACCGAGACTTAGACCCGAAAGCTTTGTAACTGCTCTCACGGTGATTCAATAAATAAAATTATAAAAAATGAAAAAAAAGTAAGGTGGAGTTCATGCACAATTCAATCAGCTAATCAGTGGCTGAATAAATAGCAGTACTCCTACATTAAAAAAAATAAAATAAGTCCAGGGCAATTTACATCATCTGATTCTTTTTGAATGGGTTTTAGTGCTTAGGTTTTTTCCAAGGAATTTGCCCATTTCACCTGCTGAATTTATTGCCATGAAGTTTTTTTTAATAGACTCTTCTTATCCTTTACATATCTGTAGAATCTGTGATGATACCACCTCCCTAATTCCTGGGATTAGCAATTTGTGCCTTCTCTGTGGTCCTGGTATGTCCAATAGAACATTTGTCAATTTTCTCAAAGAGCCAGCTTTTGTTTTCCTTCTCGTTTTTTATTAGTTTTTTTTTCTGATCTTCTTTCTTTGGCTCTCTCACTCTCTTACCCTCTTACTCCCCTCCTCCCTTGGATAATTTTAACTTTTTATTTCACTAATTTTTTCCTAACTTTTTACAGTGTGGTTCTTGTAAACACTTGATTTAAGGAAGCTAAAGAGTCAGTATAGCGGTTTAAGTGCATGCTTGCAGCTGACCCTGATTCGATCCCAGTACCACACGGTGCCCCAGAGGGCAGGGTGAAGTACTGGCCCTCCAGTACTTCACCCTCCCCGCCTTCCTGCACCCTGGGATGTGGCCCTAGAGGCCTCCCGAACACTGTCAGGATGCTCCATGTTGTCTGGGTAATCCCAAATGTCAGAGAACCCTTGCCTTGTGCTGCTCCCTGGCTAGAAAGGGCTACCCCTCACCCTAGGTCTCCAGAGCACCCCTTGGGAGACCTCATCCCCTACCAGTCCCCCTCCCATAAAAAAAGAACTTGATCTAAATTATGTTTTCCTCAAGATAGATGAAAATATTGAAGCTCAGCAAAGAGTATTTAAATGCACAACCTTGAATTCTTTTTTTCCTCCAGTGCAGTAGATGCTGTGAGCAAGGCTAGTGCTAGTGCTGCAGTCACAAGAACACACTGAGAGGCTTAGCCAACCAAGAGACAGGTCAGAATTTCTGAGAGAGCTTATTTTAGTGAGGTCTAGGACGCTTCTAGGAGGTCAAATCCAACATGCTCTTCCAGTTCATTTCGCATTGCCTGCAGTTCTTCATCTTAGCTGCTGTGTTCCGAAACATGAGCTGGAATATTCCAAGAGCAGTTCTGCACACAGCAAGTGTTCCCTTGGGTTTAATTGACAAATATGCTTTCTATTTCTCCTAAAACTGTTTGCGGTGGTCATGGTGACTGCAGCTCCAACAGTTGTGGCAGGTGTTGCTGACAAGATTATGTTGAGTAAAAGGAAAATCTGGGGGCGAAATGTAGGGGGATTGATTGTTATAAAGATTTACGTCTGTATCTCACTGCAAACTTAATCAGTAGAAAGTATTTCTTAAAAAATGGTGCTTTTTCGGCACATCCATAGCTCTTAAAAGTAATTTGTAATCACTAAAAGGCCTAATAATTCTGTAATTATTTTATAAGTGGAGCAAAATCAGTCTGATGCAATATGTACTAGCGTCTATGCAGAAGGTCTGGATCAAGGTGCTATGATTAGGGATTTTTAAAAAATCCACAGTGTCTGTTTGCCGGGAGGCACTAGAATGGCCAGTGGTCAGTTGTAAGGAAAGAGCAGAAGGAGGGATAAAACAGAGAGGCTGCTTTCAAATAGCTGCACGGCCAAGGGTTATATGTCTTGTCAATTTTATGACGGCCAGAGCATGGGGCTCCATCAGTGGTTTGCTGGTGAAGATTGCAGTTTCCGATAATCTATGGTTGTGTAGAGGAGAGAACATCAGCAGAGAAGGAGCAGGTCTGGGATCGGGAAGGGCAGGATGCAGACTCCCCATCTGGCAGGACTTCTAGTCTGGACTTGCCTCTCTCCTCGGCTCAGAGTGAGGCATGTTCACTCACCCCATCCCTCTGTGGAATGGACAGGACAGTGATACCTTTTGTTTCTGCTTAGTATGGACATGAGAAAATGTACGAGTTATCACTCAATGTTTAACATTGTAGTAAATGTTTAATACTTGGATTGGGAGCCATTTCCCCCTTCTTGAGGACCCAAGGAAATAATTAAGGGGTCATGTGCAGATAAGAAGCTCCTTAAGTTTTGTTTGCTGAAATGATTCCATCTTCTCCACTCAACTTCTAGAATTGTAAATAACTCTTTTTCTGGAAAATAGGGAAATTCCCTGTATTTATATTTAGCTCTGTTGGAGGTGGTGGTGGTGGGGGCACCACAGCAGTCCAGAGGGCTATCCCCGGTGACTCAGGAGGTCCTGCCATACTGAAGACCGAACCTGGGTGCTCTATGTGGGTCTGACATGTCTAGGCATTTCCGCAGCTCTCCGTGCAGTTATCCTCACTTCTGAATCCTTGGCTCTTCTGGGTCAAAGTGGTGCCTTCACTTTGTTTGCCTTCCAACCTTCTAACAACTACATGTCCAGCAAGCAATGTGTGCTAAAGGCTGGTTTTGCTTTCTCTTATGTTACATGTCTTGAAGTCTACAAAATGTTTGGTGTATGAGGAGGGAGCTGCTTGTTGTGGGCTGTGCTTTTTGCAGGATGAGTGCATTTTTTAGATGAAGGCTCTGTTCATGACAGAAGGGCTTCGAGGGGTGGATTGTGTGTCAGCTCCTCCTGCCTGCCTGCAGTGCCCCCACCCCGCCCCACCACCTTGCCCGGGCCCTGTCGTGCTCTTGAAGATTTAGTTCCGTTGCTTCTTTTCTTTGCTGATCCTCCTGCCCCATTATGTCAAAGCTCCTTGACATCTTGCTCTCTTGTAATACTCTACTTCACGTTGTTGTGATTGGTTTCTTGTCAGTCTTCCTAACTAAGCTTAAAGTCGGGGAATAAAAGTTTTTCTCATCTTCATAATCCAGCAAAAACTCCTGATTACGGTTCTCAGGGAAGTTTTATAGGCAGCCTTGACTTTGATGCATTCAGAGAACAATAAGAATATACTGTTTAGACGCCAGAGAGATATTACAGCAGGTAGGGTGCTTGCCTTGCATGCAGCCAACCAGGTTTGATCTCCAACACCTAAGATGGTCCCCTGAGCCGAGCCAGGAGTAAGCCCTGAGCCCTACCAGGTGTGCTCTCCCCAATCACATCACATCACATCACGGTCCTCCTGTTGTTCATCGATTTGCGCGAGCGGGCCCAGTAACGTCTCCATTGTGAGACTTGTTGTTACTGTGTTTGGCATATCGAATACGTCACAGGTAGCTTGCTAGGCTTTGCCATGCAAGGCGAGATACTCTCGGTAGCTTGCCGGGCTCCCCAATATATCTATATCTATATCTATATCTATATCTATATCTATATCTATATGCACACTGTTTATCTAACAAAGGTAGATTATTTGTTAGATTCTTCCATTCTCTAGCCTCTTCTTTCTTTTGTCACTAAGGAAATGTTTGTATACAAGAATGAGCTCACTTCTTTGTATAAGTGACACTGTGGTTTTGCTCAAGGTTTATTAGGCCCTGGGGATTTCTGCAGAACCCTGGGATACATCCTTGTATTCCTGTTTGCACTGCCTACATCAGGAGAGCAGATACTGCAGAAATGTAGCTGCCTTTTTGCATTAAGCACACAGGCCATTTGGCTACAAAAACAAGGCTGCTTCTAGAACCTCAACAGAGCAAATTCAGCAAAGCTGCTGTAAATTAGGTGTTGAAATTGAAATCACCAAATCAAGAGAGTAGCAATTTTATTTTCTTGTTTTGTTTTTGGGCCACACTCTGGCCCACAGTTACTCCTGCTTACTCAGGAATTACTCCTGAAGGTGCTTGGTGGATCATGTGGGATGCCTGGAATTGAACCAAGTCAGCCACATGTAAGGGGTGTGCCCTCCCCGCTGTACCATTGCTTCCTTCAGCCACAGAAGTGTAGCAGTTTTAAAGAGGCATTCTCTCTTGCTTCCCTTTTCTAGTTCTGAGGTTATAGGTTAGTATTGAGAATTAAAACTCCTGCTTTCCTTGAGAATATGTATATTCAACTTCCTTTTAAGAGTTCCGCCTGGTTTCTCAATGCTCAGGCTTAGAAACTGCGATTCACTGTGTGACAATGTGACATCATCTTAATAAAGAATCAACCTAGTTAACCGATGACCATTTCTTTTCAGAGAATGCTCTTAAATGAAAGAAGAATGTGTAAAAGACAAATTAAAAAGGTATTTTGACTTGGTATAGATAGTACTAGATATGTCTATCTAGTTTGGGCCCACAGCCCAAACCAAAGTTTGGCCACACAATGAGCATGCTTTCTGTTCATTCACATGGATGGGAAGGACCTACGTTGCCTAAATGTCTGGCTAAGCTTATTCTCTCTCTCTCTCTCTCTCTCTCTCTCTCTCTCTCTCTCTCTCTCTCTCTCTCTCTCTCTCTCTCTCCTTTCTTAGACTTTCTCCTAGCGATCTTGGGGAGATAAGTGGCATAGTCTCCTGGCTTGTTCCTGAAAGTCGTGTTTATCAGATGCTGCCCCAGCGCAGGGAGGCTGATGACTGAGCTGATAAGTGAAGCCTTGGAGTAGAGTGATGTCTGCAGGGCCTGTGCTCACAGATAACCTTGAAGCTGTTCATGGGTCCATCGAGCTGAGTCGTGACTTCTAAACATCAGTAAGTCTCTGTATCATTGAAATATTTTATTATCTTCACTCAACATTTCTCAAACATTTGCCCCCTGTGGGGGACCATAGGATATTCCAAAGGGGGTACCCACTGGTAAAAGATGGGGCCACAGGGGGAGAACAAGGTCATGGTTGGAAAAAGGTTGAGCAACATTGATCTAAATTGTTGAGCAGTCACCTTGTAAGCCAATTCTCCTTTTTCATTTATTTAATCAAAACAAGAAAAGAATTGCTTTGTTTATACTTTATTATTTCTGGTAGTCACTGTCACTGTCCTCCTGTTGTTCATCGATTTGCTTGAGCGTGCCAAGATAGAATATATTCAAATATATGCTTTGAGAGATCTTGCAAATTTCACAGGCTCTTTCCCTGAAGGGTTTAGCCCACTCAGAAACTTGAACTGGGAGCCCCCCCTTTTTTTAAATTTTATTTTAATGAATCACCATGAGATACAGTTACAGACTTACAAACTTTCATGATTATGTTTCATTCATACAATGTTCAAGATCTCTACCACTAACGTTCCCAGTGTCTCTCCTGCCACCCTTCTCACCTCCTCCCTCTGTGGCAGGCACATTCCCTCTGACTCTCTCTCCTTTTGGGTGTTTGCGATACAGGTACTAAGTGGATGTCATGTTCGGTCCATAGTCTGCTTTCAGCACACATCTTGCATCCCGAGCGAGCCCTCCAACTATCATTTATTTGGTGGTCCTTTCTCTATCCCAACTGCCTTTTCCCCCAGTACGTGAGGCTGGTTTCCAAGCCATAGAGCAATCCTCCTGGCCCTTATCTTTATTGTGGGAGCCCCTTTCACTAACTTGCGGAGCTGCCCACCGAGGAGCTCTCCCAGAGACAGGCGTGATGGGCACCTGGCTGTGGCTGGGATGCCCGCTGGCACAATAGCTCATGCTTAAGTTGAGCGACAGGCACACTTCTACTCTGTCCTCTAGAATTTAGGGCTGTCCAGTACCACAGTGGTCTTTGTTGGTCCAATAATTAGGAGTGGAGGAAGGTGGAAGAAGAAGGAGACTTTTTTTTTTTTTTTAGATGTGAATGCCCAGAAGTTAAACCTTACTTCCATGGGAATCTTGAGACTTTCAGAAAGTAAGCAGCTTGCTTCAGAATGAACAGTTGCATACTTCTTTCTTTTTCTTGGAGTGAAAATTACTGGACTGGGTGTCAGAGTGGTAGCACAGTGGGTAGGGTGCCTGCCATGCATGCAGCCAGTTTGGGTTTGATCCCTAGCATCCCATATGGTCCCCCAAACCTGACAGGAGTGATCCCAGAGTGCAGAGCCAGGAGTAAGCCCGGAGCACCACCGGTGTGACCCCAAAACAAAAGAAAACAAAATTATTGAATTAAATAGGAGCCTGAAGAGGTCGTCTTAGACTGTCTCTTAGACTTGCCTAACTCAGACCATGTTTTAGTCAGTGCAGAGTGGTCTCTCTCCCCATCTTCTTACACAGTTGCCCATGGAGTTTTGTCTGAAAGAACAGTTGTCAGAAAGGAGAGATATTTACTTTAAGAATAAAATGTCAGGGGGCTGGAGCCATAGCACAGCGAGTAGGGCATTTGTCTTGCATGCAGCCAACCTGGGTTCAAATCCCAGCATCCCATATGGTCTCCTGAGCACTACCAGGAGTGATTCCTGAGTGCAGAGCCAGGAGCAACCACTGTGCATCACCGGGTGTTACCCAAAAAGCAAAAAAAAAAAAAAAAGAAAGAAAATGTTGGGGCTGGAGCAATAGCACAGTGGATAGGGCATTTGCCTTGCACGCAGCCAACCCGGGTTCGATTCCCAGCATCCCATATGGTCCCCCCGACTGCCAGGAGTAATTCCTGAGTATATGAGCCAGGAGTAACCCCTGTGCATTGCCGGGTGTGACCCCAAAAGAAAAAAAAGAATAAAATGTCATAATTTATATCTTTCATTCTGTCAGATCTGAAATATAGGTATGTCTTGATTAGATGTATTGTTCTTTTATAGATATTTTAGATGTGTGAAGTAATAAGATGCTGTTCTTTCGCAAATGGAAATTATAGTCGTTCTGTTTGAAAAATGAGGTCTGGTTTATTGTTAGTGTGTTAGAGTGTTCTTAAAGAGAGGAAGTTACAGAAAGTTAAATGCTGTCATTCTGTCTCTTCAAACGAAGAACAAAAGTAAATGATTGTGAAGTATTTCAGTGGGTTGAACCTTAAGTTAGAATGTGCCTCTTCCAGTATTATAAGAAGCACTTTGCCTAGTTACTATGGAAACATTTCAATTATTAAGTTGAAAGTTATGATGTAGCTCTCAATACATATCTTCTGTGAAGGATAGATGTTGCCAACTTAGAATCTTAATGCTGTCTAGCAACTAGTTCCAGAGCAAACATGGGCTGAGAGGACTGTGAAGGAGGCCGGGCCAACACCCGAGAAGACACAGTTCTCCCCACTCGGAGCTCAGGTTCTTCCTGGGAAATGAGAGTGGGCACAGACTCTGTGTGTGTGTGTGTGTGTGTGTGTGTGTGTGTGTGTGTGTGTGTAGCAGGCAGCATGTGCAAGGCACAGCAGGAGTTAAGGCTCTGGGGGACGTGAAGGGTCATGACGTTTGCCTGATGGACAGGAGATGGGACAGAGACAGTGTTCCCACAGCGGAGACTGAGGGGGCCAGACTTCGAGGAGGTCCTTGGAGGTCCTTAGTCTGTTTTTCAAGACAGGTTTCTTTTTGTTTTTTTAAATTGCTGTACATCTTCACATTATTCAAAAGTGTCGGGGGAGTCTGAAGTATTTCAGTCCCTACGCCAGTGATAGGTAGATTCAGGCGTTAGCCTGCCAGCCTCTCTTGTGTCAGTCTGTGCCATTGTAAGTTAAGGATTTAAAGTCTCCAAACCTTATGAGCACTTAATGAAACACTAAATCTGATGAATAGAGCTGTGAGTTGAACATTTAGAAAGATTTAAGTAAATGCAAATTGCTCTTTTGGGGACCAGGGGTCTCCCAAATGGTGCTTAGTGGGCCACTTCCAGTGATTACAGACCGCCAGTGATTTAATGAGCGGGCCCAAGGTCATGATACTGTTTGTGCCCTGTAATGCTGGGAAACACCAGGGCAATCAGGTCATTCTTGGGGGAAACTGGGGCTGCCCTTAGTGACACTCGGGGGGTGTGCAGTGCCAAGGATTGATGTGGGGCCAGGTGCAAAGAACACGCTCCTGTCCCCTCCATGCATCCCCAAGAGCCCCTCCGTACAGCGTCTCCTCTACCTCCCCTCTCCATGGATTCATTAATAGCATCAGTATTATTCATTTGAGTTTTCTGGTAACTGGAATACTTGTGCAACAATGTGGGTACTATATTTTTAAAACTTGCCCACTCTTACTGGATTACAAATCTTTCTTTGTGGCTGCCCCATTCTGAACACCCTCTGATGTGCACAGTTTTAGATTCAGACTCACACTTTGAGAGCTAGAATAGCTTCATCTTCCAGCTTAGTTGAGAACAAAAGTAAAATAGTGTATCCTACAGTGTGCTGCGTGGCTGTCTGTGATGTGGTTTGGTTTATTGGTGAATAAACGAGCTTATGTGGCCTTATTACTGTTTTCAAGGGAATCTAAGTGTAGAATGCTCAAGAGAGGGTGGGGGTACCAGTTGGGCAGAACCAAAGAAGCCAAAAACCCAGAAACAGTCATGGGAGAACCAGGCAGTGACCCTGCCTGATGTGAAAGGGGAGTAGTGCCTGGTGTGTAATTTCAGGGCTGCTGCCAGGACGCTCAAAGTCATTGAAATGGCATCACTTTGTCAGGCCACTAAGAGAAGTGAACCTATGTCTGTCTTTCCCCTTTTCAACCATAGAGGTTTACACTATCCCTTTTTGAGAGTGGTATTTGAGCAGCTCTAAGGGCTGAGTGTTAGTCATGGGGTGTTAGTCAAGGTTGGGGGCAGGAGAGATGCTCAGTCACCCTCATTTTGGTCTCTCACAACTCACCAACAAAGAACCAAAGAGCAGAGAGCGGATGACTGCTCCCGCCAGCAAGGCTGGAGCCAAGGAGGAGATGGAAAGGTGAGCTCTTTTCCCCGAGGGCCCAAGACTCTCACAAATGGACAAAATATGAAGACAAATGTGGTGCAGGTGGGGCAACCTGGCGAGAAAGGTTCTGCAATACCTTGCAAAGTGCCCCAGGGAGAGAGCACACACAGGCTTAGGGGGAAACCTAGAATGGGACACACTTTTCTTTTCCTTTCTCCCAGTGTCTGCTTCCCTGAGCTCCTGTTCCAGTCACTGCCACCACTGCCTTCAGTTCCCACTCCTGATTCTTCTCTGGGCCCCGGGCCCCCGGTCTGGCCATCCCCCCAGAGCATGTGTTCCAGGTTGGAGCTTGCAGCAAGCCTAACTGCCTCCACTCGGCTTTGGTATCCTAGAGCCGCGCTCCTCAGCATGGGCTCCTAGGATATTCCAGGTGGGCCTCAAGTGAAAATCCCCCAGCTGGGTGGTGATGGCACAAGACTGGGAGGCCAGCTGTGAGGATGGGGCAGCCACAAGAAGAAAACAAGGTCAGAAAGGGGCTGTGATTGGAAAAGGTTGAAAAAAACTGTCCTAGACCAGAGCCATGTGCTCCTCTTAGCTCTGGATTTGAAACAACAGCAGGGCCTGATGCTGGATGCTGTGAAGGAACTGGGTGAGGGAGAGGTTGGGAGCATCCAGGAAACCTGAAAGTAACACACTCTGTATTTGCACACCTGAATACTCTTTCCTAACCAAGTGTATGGAATCCTTGAGCATGCTGGACTCTGGGCTGTTTCGGTGAGGTGAAATAGTAGCTAGCATGCAGGAAGGAGTATTCTTGGAAGCACGAAAGGTTGAATTTCACGAGAAGCTTCGGTTCATTTAGTAACCATGGATAGAAGATTTCTAAATGCAGAGTGGTAGCTATTGAATTATGCATGGAGAGAACTTACAGCTGGTGGACAACGTAATCATCTTTCTGGGTACGCACATGTAGCTGTGGAA